CCTGCTTTTTGAAAAAGAAAAACATTTGAAATGAAACAAGCAGAGGAGTAGTCTGGCTTACTTCTACCGAACGCAGTTTACTTGCAGTGAAACGTGGTACATGTACTTATAATAACAGTGTAAGCTACTGACTCCACTTCATTCAACTTATTGGATAAGCTACATTTATTGACGGTATGTATTCCCTTTATCTTTCATATCTCAGGAATATAGCCTTTCGTTAAAAATAAAAACATGTAGATGTATAACGGCAAGGGGATTCCCCTAACGTCCTATTCTTATGACTAAAGTGGCTGAAAATAATTGTGGTAAGCCCTTTAGTGCTTTCCTACGTCCACTACGCACGTGTAGGCTAATACATGTAGAATGATAAGCGAAACTCACACCCGCCCATGAATGTAGGAGGCTATGAAAAAAGAAATGTTTTAATAAATCTCCATTTTACATATGTATGTATGTATTTAATCTCACTTCCCTTAATGAATTCATGATTTTATTGACGGGACCAAGGAGAGTTCCCAAGGAGATAGATCAATCCAAATGTCTGTGGGAATTACAAAGGAGTCGCAGGACCTTCGATTTCTGGTCTAGAAGCTTTGCTGTTAGGTCTTAGATCAAATGGAAACTTTCTACCTTGTCAGGCAGAGGGTCAGTTTGGCTGTACATGTTTACATCTGCAATTATAAACGATAGCCTGGGTGCCGTACAGATGTATTTCATCTCGCGCAGCGCCAGTCCTCGAACATGGTCTTATCATCATAATTAAAGTTCACCATGTACACGAGGCCGTGTTTGAGAGGCCGACGCGGAGCGTTCATAGATAGTTTGTTATTTTCTGTGACTTCGCTTTGTGCTGAGATTTAGTTTGGTTTCACGTATGACGTTAAGAAGCACAATGGGATCAAAGGGATCAGGGACGGTTTTGGTTTAATAAATCAGCTAGTTAAAACCCTAATTTCAAGAGGGGGATATTAGTGTGATTTTTTTTCAGAAACCGAAGGGACCCCCCTTACCCCCCCTCTAAATCCGCCACTGCATGTCGTAACCTCTGATCCTCAAAATTGGCGAAAAAAGTATAAACTAATAAATATTGAAGACTACTAACCACACATTTAAAGTGCCAGATTTTAGTAAGTCGTCAGTAAAAGCATTACACTTTGTGTTTGGGGAATAATTTCAACCCTATAACCAAGAGGAAGGCCTATATTACCAGTAACAGGGACAACATTCGTTTTTATGCCCAAGTCCGTTATTAGGCTAATTTGACCTTGACTTCTTTTGTAGCCCCCGGCCACTTCGTTGTTTAGCAGTACTCACTCAGGTTCTCCTACCTTTTCTATGAGAGTAACGGTCAAGGTCACAAGAGAGTAAATGTCAATTAATTGCTCCTATTTGCTGGCCAACTCACCACATTGACAAAAAAAAAAGGTTCCAGTCTAAATGTTCAAATAATGGCATATTGACAAGGTATATGAAGGTAGCGGACCCAAAAGTAATTACTGTGAGACAATCCGGGATATATAACTCCCGATATTTTACACTCGTGAAAGTGGAATAATAATGATAATAAATAATAATAAATTTATTTTAAGTCTAAAATTTAAAATGTTCAGTAATCTTTACATAAAGTATCATAAATAATACTACATAAAATATCATAAATAAAATCTAGGTAAAAACAACCATTATTCCATACAATTAAATGCAATTAATACAAGATTTATACAACCAATTAAGAGTAAATCAAAATATTTCCTAAAAAGGTATGTTTTGAGTTATTTTTTAAAATTTTTGGTAGACAGAATTGCTCGGATTTCCAGCGGTAATAGATTCCATTCCTTTGGACCTGCAGCTTTAAAAGATATATCACCATCGGTTTTTAATCGCATTTTTACTGGGTTGAGTAGCAATTGGTCTACAGACCGCAGATTTCGCATTGGAACATAGTGGCTGACTAATTAATTGATGTAGATTGATGCCAATATATAAAAAGCATCGTGAATAAAAACTAAAAATTTGAATAACATTCTGGCTTGTAGATGTAGCCAGTGTAAACCTTTTTAAAACTGGGGAGATGTGTATACTTGTGGATGTCCGAGTTAATAATCTGGCCGAAATATTTTGAATGCGCTGCAGTCTAGCAAGTTTTTTCTTTGGACAACCGTATAAAATGAGGTTGCAATAATCTAATCAAGATGTAACTTAACAGTTTATAACTGTGGCTGCAGCAGAGTCAGACAACTGATTGCGAATTGCACTTAAGTTCCTAATGTTAAAAACCGCTGACCTGCATACACTGGGAATATGTTTGTTCAAACAAAGTGATCCATCTAAAAATACACCAATATTTTTTGCAAAGGTTGTTGGCTTAATAATGCTTGATCCAATTTTGAGCTGAATTTGTTGTGCTATCATACGATTATGTGGCTGACTTATTACCAAAAGTTTAGAATTTCCATCGTTAATTTTCAACTTATTACTAATCAGCCACCCGCGAAGATCTTCAATACATTCAGACAATATATCAATAGATTAATTTGGATTTTCTAGATTGCAACAAGTACAAATCTGTGTGTCATCAGCATAAATATGATAGCCAATGTTATGATGTCTTAGTATGGCCCCAATTGGTAAGGTATACATGCAAAAAAAGAAGAAGTCCTAGACCACTGCCTTGTGGCACACCAAAAGCCATCTCTGAAACATTTTATAATATACTGCTGTGACCGGCCTGTAAAATAAGAACGTAAAAGACTTAGAGCAGAGTCCTTAATACCAATAAAATCTTCAAGAAAAGATAAAAGTAGTTCATGATGAACGGTGTCAAAAGCTGCCGATAGGTCCAACAGGACTAAAAGAACCATTGAATGTTTATCCACTCCACATAAAAGATCACTTTTAATCCTAAGTAGAGCTGACTCAGTACTGTGTCTGGCCTTGTATGCAGATTGCATTGGCTCTATAAGAAACGAGAGGTTAGACACAGGTCTGTAATTTCCAAGTGTATCAGGGTCAAGAGATGGCTTTTTTTAAATAAAGGTTGAACAACGGCTTTCTTGAGTTGGTCAGGGAAAGAACCAGAAGTGAAACTAGCGTTGATGATGTGAGTTATCAGGTTGATGACAGCTGGGAGTATCTGGGCCATAAGCACTGTCGAAATCGGATCAAGCATACATGACGTCTTCTTGGAATTGGTAATTATTTTTGTGACTTCATCTGTAGATGCTTCTTGGAAAGATGAAAGGGTTGAAATGGGCTTCGACAACAGATCAGATAGTTGAAAACACGGTGGGGTGGAGATTGTGTATTCCAGTTCCGAGAGTTCAACATATATATTCTCAATTTTGGATATGTAAAATTCACTCATCTTGTCCGCAAGAGTTTTTAATGAGACTGTCCCAGGGTGGGAGGTATTATTTGATTTCCCTAATAAGCTGTTCACTGTGTTGAACAAAGCTTTGTTGTCACCATTGCATCCATTGATTAAATCTGAAAAGTAGGACTCCTTTGCTTTCCTGATTAAAGAGTTGACATGAGCGCACTGAGTTTTGTAACATTCATGATGTACTGTTAGTCTAGTGTCCCTCCAAAGACGCTCCATCCTCCTTCTTTCTCTCTTGACATCCAATATTTCATCATTCATCCATGGCTGTAACTGCTTTAGCAGAATATTATTAATATAATATTAGAATAGCATTCTCATTTCTAGGCGTATTTTCCGTTCAAACCGTGCGGACTAAAAACGTGCTGCACTTATCACCTACTATTTGTACCAACTGCTCTACTGACCGATCACGTGGGGATAACTTACTATTACTCTGTCCATACTGAACAGTTCACTCAAAATCAAGTAACACGTGACATCGTACCTACAATAAATACATTTGGCTTACAGCCTCACCACCAGTTTCGGGGAATTGATCTGGAGTGCAAGGGTTTATCTTTGCTACACATCACGTTTGGCTCACACCTTTCCTTCTGAACCGCGACCGACGAGGACATTATCCTCACACTGGTACTACATGTAACCCGTTATAGGACAGAAATGTTCACATTTCAAGTTTTATTCCTCTGCCTTTTTCTCCATTTTGGCAGAGGGCGGAATACTCCGTCAAGTAACCAAGTTCCGTTTCCCAAACTTCTCGGCTTACTGAAGGTACAGGTTCAAATCGAGAAAGTTGGTGATGTTCTCCACAAGGAATGCCCAACACTGTTCCAGCGTCCAGACATCAAGAGCATTCTACAGCCAGTCATAGGTAGGCTAGCTTACAACTGAACTAAGATTTAATCTGCCTCTTATATTACAGCTGAAAGTGATTAGGACAGTTTAATATCTTAAGTCTCTATCAAGAAAAAAAAAGACGACCTCAATCCGCTCCTGTACATGTTGCTGGCCATTCGAAGAAATCCAGTCCAGTACCAATTAATATTGTACAGGAGTGAACATACATCAAGACTTTTTAATGATATTTGTTTAATTATTGGAATATAGGAGAATATTAAATTTAAGTAATATGACATTTTTGCAAAAATAACCTGTAATACTTTTTGTCTATAATAGCCATTTTTGTACTGATAATTAAATTCAGGCCTAGGGGTGTAAGAATAATTTTTTAATCATGCATTCGTAGGAAAAAGGCAGTCGTACTTTGGCGCGTCATCGGAGGAGATAGAATTCAGAATCAGACTGGCTAAGCATACTCTAGATTTCTTGACGAAAAGTTACTTGAAGTGTAAAGCCGGGTCATTGAAAGTCACGACACCAGGCAAGGTGAAATAAGATCGCATGGATATATACTGACAGTCAATGAAAACGCATCAGAAAACTTTCTTGTACTTTTTTTACCGAGAATCGATTCTCAACATATAAACGATTACAAATGCACATGTTTGGTCATACATGTAGGAGAGTGGGCTGACCACTGAATAATGGGTCATATTTCACACAAAAACTGTTACTTTCTTAATGTGCCAAAGGAACTTTAAATATCATTTGGTAAATAAATGATGCGTTTTCATTGACAGTCAGTATTAAGAGCTCCAAATAAGTCAGGGATTATCATGAAATCTTGTTTATGGTGTTATAGGAGAAAAGCCACGATTTCATCTTTTAAGTTGAAATGCAACTTTTAAGTATTAAAATACTTGATGTATCAAACAATCTATTGCTGGGTAGTGATGATATAATATAGATTTAAATTTTCAATGGCCAATTGTATGATGACTTGTATTATATTTTATTTCTATTTTGGTTAAAGCACAAAGTATAAATCTAACACCGAAGGACATTTTGGGTTTCAGCATTATATATTATATAGTAGCCATTCAATTTTGACATCGTCTTACGATGTAAATCATTTGCTGTAAATCGATCATTTCATTTTTTTCTAAATACTTCTCGCATTTTTTAGCTCCCGATCCATGTGACAGTCAACCGTGCCAAAATAACGGGACGTGCTCAGCCAGCGAGGACACTGCTATCTGCGCATGTCTGCCTGGTTTTACCGGTGCCACGTGTGACGTAGGTGGGTTCACGTGGACTATAGTGTGACGTCACGGTCACAATGTTCCTACGTACAGTGGAAAAGATGATTTTAAACATCTATGGGCTCTACATTTATATTTTAAAACGACTTTAAGAAGATACAGTATAACGGGATTAACACATAAACACATTTGTTGGCTCTGTTTGAATGTCTATAAGCTCCGGTTGTATGGAAGAATATAATAAAGCATTGAAAACACATGTACTTCAAAGATCAGACATTGATAGGTTGCGATAGCATGTCAGGTATTAAATACACATTATTTTTGTGTGTTGGTTCATTTCACGTGGCATGCAGAGTACAAGTGTAGATTAGGTTTTTTCATTATTCGCCGTGATATTAGTTGAACGTCGGAAATGGCTTAATATTACCGCAGGTACATCTTACATAGATTGTACACTGATCTTTTCCATACAATATCCAAATTGTTTTTTAATCTATATTGCTTACTTTTAAGCACATTAGGAAAAAAATATAAGAACCATATCGCGTAGAAATGTTCAACTAGTAGATCTCTTAATAAATCAAATATAATTCTTCGACTAATCACGTTCCGTTTAAAATATAATCGCTTCCTATGATGTATTAAGAATGAAAAATATTTTCGATAGGAATCTTGTAATAATATAACGGTGGTAATAATTCTGTATCAGCGGTTGATCACTGCCGCAGTCAACCATGCCAAAACGGCGCCACCTGTGTGAATGGAACTACTACACACAGTTGTATTTGCCCGGATAGGTACACTGGAAGTAACTGTGAAATATGTACGTATTAACTACATATGATTATCTTTAAAACGTATTAAAAAGAAAGTATTTTTGTCAGTTCCCTTTATTTGTTGCTACCAACATAACTAAAAGCTGCATTTGGCATTATTATGGGCCGGTGTTTTTTTTTTTTTTTTTTTTTTTTTTTTGGGGGGGGGGGGGGGGGGTAGGCGTGGGGTGGGGGTGGGGGGTTGTTAAAACAGGGACTTTTTTCGAACACACCATATGTTGTGTCCGATGCCAGAATCATGGCATTACGTGGCACGAACATGCAAAAACACTTGGTATTTTATGAAGTTCCTTGCGTTCACGCTATGCGGACCCGGCCATTTTGGACCTTCTGTTGAAGCAGGGGCTTTCATTTAGGGGTTAAGGTAGTAAGGGGAGGGGGGGGGGGCTTCTTCAAGAAGGAACCGCTATGGCGTGAAATAAGTCTGGAACAATGTAATCCGGGTGAGGAGTTTTTGCTTTGATACATGTAACTCAAAATGCTGCTTCATTCGTGTGTTTGATAAGAGATTATCAATAGCTTACAAACCGAATCTGTCACCATTATACATGTGATGCTATTTAGATAGGTGTGTGCATTTTCCGGTGCGTTCATTCGGGGAACAGGGTTTTCTCTTGTTTAAAAATAGAATAAAAAGGAAGTCATGTCACTTTTGAAGTCCTTTGAAGAATAGTCGAATTATATATATGAGTCAAAAAAGTTTTTTTTTTCTCTTTTTAAAATATGATTTATTTGAAATAGCAAATAGGAAGTATATTTCAGTGCTATAAAGCTCTGTGTAGCAGTTGGATCATGAAGTGTTCATTATATCACTATGTTCATTTTAATTTTTTTCTTACCTGTACATATTTATTGGATATAATACATTTGTTTTTTTTTTGTTTTTTGTTTTTTGTTTTTTGTTTTTTTTTTCGCTNTATGATATCCAGAAAAGAAACATTACGGCAGAGAACCACTTAAAATCTGTAGACAGTGACAACACATACACTTATCAATGGGGCGGTTACACCACCACTGACTTTGCCGTGGACGAGTACGGACTGTGGTTAGTGTACGGAAACAGGAGTAACAACTGTTACCTGGTCATCGCCAAGATCAACCCAGACACTCTCAACGTGGAGCATTCGTGGGCAACGACCATTCGCAGTGGAAGCGTGGGCAACACTTTCATGAAATGTGGCGTGCTTTACGCCACGAATTCTTACAGTGAAACATCCACGTACATCCGCTATACCTATGACACCAATACTGGAAAACAAAAGTCACTTCCTCTGAACAGGATCCCGTTCAACCAACCTGGTACATACAATACCATGTTAGATTACAATCCCCATGATGGTCTTCTGTATTATGCTGATGACTATCAGGGATATCTTGCCACGTTCCCAATTGTTAAATCAGTGTAGCAAGATCACGTATTCAGAAAAGAAAGCCAAAAAATAAATAGTTGCAACAATAGTTTTGTTTTCAGAAACCTCCCCTTTCCCACGATGCGTGTGTAAGCATGTGTGCGTGCGTGCGTGTGCGTTTGAAAAACGTGTTAGCATGGGTATGTTCTTGGGCAGGTGGTGAATTGACAGATAGGTCAATGCACCTATCAATGGG